ACTCAAGGGAGGAAAATTCAGAACACTTTACATGTATAGGGTGGTTCAAGTCACCAGACTCGATCCAAAATGGACCATAAAAATCGACGCCTGCACGCAGCCATCCAAACTTTTTGTGAAAGGTGTATCTTATAGGTCGTTTTTTTCTTGTAAAATTACAAAGCGTAGTTCTCTTTTAGTAAAAAAAAAAAAAAAATAGGGGGGATTGGTGGCCGAGTGGTCTAGCGCACACCAGCTCGGAGCACGTGGAGCGAAAGCTCGCGCTGCAGAACCCAGGGATCCTGGGTTCGAGCCCCACCCCTGCCCGTTTCGATCTGGATGAGCATCGTACCGGCGTGTGGTCGTGTGTCACTACTGCGTGATGCACGTTAAAGACCCCAGGCTAGCGGCTGTACCGCACTGGCTAAATTTCTCATCTACAGCTGGGAGACTCGTCGCCCCTGTGAGGCAGACCAAGTTCTAGGCTGTATAAACACACACACAACCCAATTATTATTAAAAAAAATAGGGCCAAGAAACTTGCCAGACTCTACGGCGGGCGGCGACCCAGACGACCAAGTCCAGTAGCAAGGTGTGTTTGGCGTTCGTATTCGTAAATGGCGTCGGGAGCAGCGTCTCAAAGTGCAGCCGAGCAGCGAAAGATAGCAGACGACACGAAGACGAAATCCGTTGGCAGGACAAGTGCCGCCGTAATGCAGACACATTTTTTTACTTTAAGTTTTGCTTTTATTGTTTGCATCTATGTTTTAACCGAAGGTACATTTCAAAAAAATTATATTCATTTTAATAAAGCACGGTGGTCGCAAGCAGTCGCGATAAGGAGGTAGCGCCATCTATCAATACGAACGCCAAACACACCCCGCTACGGGACCCGTCGTCTGCGTTGCTGCCCGCCGTAGACCGTAACAAGTCTCTTGGCCTTATTTTTTACAGAAAAAGAGCTACGCTTCGTAATTTTACAAGAAAAAACCGACCTGTGAAGTACACCTTTAATGAAAAGTTTAGATTGCTACATGCAGGCGCCGATTTTTACGGTCCATTTTAGATCGAGCCCAGTGACTTGAACCACCTTATATTTCGAGGGACATCAGAGAAATTTGCCTTAAAGGGGTGCTGCAATCATATATAAGCATCTACCTTTTTGGCGGTTTCTACATCTCTCGGGGTTCGGGCAAGCCAGCGGGCACAGAGAGAGTAACTAAATATCAGTGAGTCATATTTTAACCGGACGGCGCAGAAACCTCCTCCAAATACGGGGCGACCCACGGTGCCGAAAGCGCACGATATCTGAAGTCTTTGGTCCAGGGCTTACTACTGGTCAGAGCCGCTAAAAGCTCCTTTTAGTCAAAATACTAAATATAAGTGGCGCAAACCATTTCTATTATTTATGAAAGTAGTTTTTGTTGAGTATTTTAGATCAGAAAGAAACAAATGCCATTTATAAAGTACGGAAACAAGAAAGGGCCCATCGACATACATGCCACCAAGTGGTGGAAAAGGCGGCGCATACTAGAAAAGGGTAGTGAGATCAGGCACTGACGAGCGGCAAGCGTACAAAGGTCCCAGATGTATGCAGCACCGCTTCTGTTGTATACGGGCTCGAGGATCCGACCGGTTCCACACGTTCCGAAGGCCTTCCGCGAGCTGGTTTGGCTTGCGATTTGGCCGTTTGGTGGTATGGCAGCACGAAGTGGCTCCCGTTCTGAACTGATCTTTACCCCTTGTTTGCTGTCATTTGTGGCCAATGAAGTGTCATGCCGAATTAGTGTTCATTCGTGCAGCAAATGCAATGCGAGCCACCCTGGCTGCCTGCGTTATACAGCCTATCCAGAACATGCTTCAGTGGTGCCCTCTCGAGCCGTCAGCACGGAGTGCAGCAGCCATGAGCGCTCGCTAAGCTCACTACTCCTCCTCTAGTTCACAGCCACTCAAGCGACCAAGGACGTCATGAAGGAGGTTATTTTTTGCTTCTTTTTGTAATTTTAATTTGCCTATAACTTTTAAAATAAAGCGAAATTCGAGAAAAGAAAAGGTTTGTTAAGTTACTACGTTCAGTGCAGTCAGGTTCAGTGCAAATTAAAACCAGTAAAAAAAGTCCTTGCATGGTAATCTTAAGAGCAGCGTCGGCCATGCTCCTTCAACCATGAGCAGCGGCAACGTCGACTCCCGGGTGACCACCATGACTGCAACAGTAATCTTCCCTAAAACTGATGAGAGCTCTCGGGAATGGCTCCACAGTTGCACTTCGTAATGTTCCAGCGGCGTCCCGGGAAACAGAGTTTCATATTTGTCCTCACCGAGGATGGAGACGCAGGCACCGGTGTCCAGCTCTATGACCGGCGGCACGTTTTTCACGAGGACTTTCATCTGCATGGACCCGGGCTCCTCTGCACGCAGTGACCACATGGAGCACTCGTCGGCGTTGACCTCTGTCTTGGGAACTTAGTCCATCTTGTGCACTGGGCACAAGTATATCAAATTTTCGGAAGCAATTGCCATCACACCGGACACTTTGGCAACGTGGCCCTGCCGTCCACGCTTGAAGCAGGCGCTGGTGCGGTGTCGACACAGAGAAGACTGATGCTTTTCACTGCACTGCTCGCAGTTGCACTCCATCTGGGCAGTTCCACGAAGTTCATCATGCCCACCGTATCTGCTAACGTTACATGAGGACACTGAACACGAGAATCCCTCTTGGTAACTTCCATGGTGATGATGAGCTGCTTGGCCGACTCCAGGTACAGAATCGCAGTTTCCGAGAGTCGCGTCTGGATTCCGGTATCACTAATACTGGACACAATCTGGCCCCTCACCATACGGTTTCATGTCGAACCGAAATTGCAGTTTTCCGCCAACTTGTTCAGCGCCGCAACATAGTCACCAACTGATTTGCCTTCTTGCCTTTGCATCAAGAAAAACTTCAAAAACTTGCAACAACCTCCAGCATTCTCGGCTTAAAATGGCGTCCAAAAATTGCAAAAATTGCCGCGCACGTGGCATCACCGGGTTTTGTCAGGGCCAGGAGGCTTCGCAAGAGTACGTCATTGCCCCGCAGCAAGTCAGGAACACGGCTTTCTTTCCCTCAGCGTCATCGTTGGCCACGAAGTACGAGGGTGGTCCGATAAGTACTTAGCCTACAAAAGAAAAACAAAAAGTTTTGGAAAAGCGGCGATTTATTTTTCAATATAGTCTCCTTTTAGTTCGATACACTTGACCCAGCGATGCTCCAACTTTTTTAACCTATCTAAAAAATAGGTTTTCTCGAGGTCTGCAAAGTATTCTTCCGTGGCGGCGATGACCTCCTCATTCGACTCAAATTTCTTCCCGGCGAGTAACTTTTTCAAGTTTGGAAACAAAACGAAGTCGCACGGGATCAAATCTGGAGAATACAGTGGATGGGGCAGCAGTTCGTAGCCCAATTCGACCAATTTGGCCGTGGCGAGGGCGGAGATGTGAGCCGGTGCGTTGTCATGGTGGAAGAGCACTTTTTTCTTCGCCAAATGGGGCCGTTTTTTCTGCACTTCGGTGTCGAATCGGCCCAATAATTCGGCATAGTACAGCCCTGTGACCAATTTGCCCTTTTCCCGGTAGTTGATGTAGATCACACCTTGTGAATCCCAGAAACGGTGGCCATCACCTTTCCGGTCGATAGGACAGTCTTCGCCTTCTTCGGACGACGTTCGCCGGGTGAAGTCCACTGTTGCGACTGTTCCTTGGTCTCTGGTGTGTACCTGTGCATCCATGTTTCGTCGACGGTCACGAAACGACACAGAAACTTCTTCGGATTGCGCTTAAACAGCGTCAAACACTGCTCTGAAGTGGTCTCACGGTTGCGCTTGTTGCCCGGAGTGAGCAAACGCGGCACCCATCTCGCCGACAACTTTCTCATGCCCAAAATTTCATGCAGGATATGACCCACGCGGTTTTTTTAGATGCCTACTGTCTCAGCTATATCACGCACCTTCAATCGGTGGTCTGCCAATACGAGATTGTGGATTTTTGTCACATTATCCTCCATGGTAGCCGTTTTCAGGGCACCTGGGCGTGACTCTTCAAAAACCGACATGCGACCATGTTGAAACTTGTTAAACCAATTTTTGACAGTCGCCATCGAAGGAGAAGAGTCACTGTACACAGCATCTAAGCGCTCTTTGATTTCACTGCACGATTTCCCTTCCAAAAACAAGAATCGAATCACCGACCGATATTGCTCTTTTTCCATTTTTCTAAAATTCACGGACACGCCCGCTTCCACATGCGATCAAAACAAAACTATGAGTCCGATTTGGTTGAAACTTCGATAGTAGCTGTCTACGAGAATGTACTACACGATAGTACATTTTTTTTGCGATAGTGGCGCCACTGGGTGGTGAGGCTAAGTACTTACCGGACCGCCCTCGTACAACAAAACTATATTATCATAGAATTTTATCCTCGTATTCCGCTCATGCGGTCGTGGCTGCATCGTAGGCCTAAAGCTTCCCAACCGATGGCATACCGAAATCGACCACGCTGCGTTATCTGCACCGAACCAATGTCCTGAAGTTAATCTCTCGTCGCCAGTTGTCATAAACGCAGACCCATGGCAAGGCCACGTCAAGGCACGACAAATTCTCCTGTTCTGGTGTAAGTGCCGAGCACCTAACTTGGGCATCGGCGCGTTTATTTAACGAGGCCACCTCTACTGCCACCTGTTGGTGCCACAGCACCCTTGACATCATGACAGTGAAGTTCTCTGACGATGGTTTCACAGCAGGTGCGGATTTGAATGCAATGCACAGACTTGTATCGGACATGATTAAAAAAAGCAGAGTTTCTTACTTTGAAACCAAAATGCAGGCAGCAGCTTCTATACAGAAAAATGCGGAAATAAAATTGTCTGAAAAAACAAAGTCGTTAGTAAGACACCACATGAATGCTATCCGAAGAATGTTCCAGCTCTTTTCTATTTTATGATCTTGCAACACTTCACTCACTCTCATGTCACAACAGGCACCTCATCATTGGAAGACATTTTTTATTTCTAAAAAAAAGCCTTGTGGGAGGAATGTACAGCACCCCTATATTGTTTGTTTATAAACTAATACATAGATGATCTGTCAGTTCGTCTAAATACTGACGCTTGAACATAAAGTACTGCAATGCGTCACTGTTTTTGACAAAAACACTATAATCACTGACAAGGTGAAAGTAGCAAAGAGGAGCTTCAGCATGAGTTACCTACTTTCGACAAGGCTTTGCACCTTATGCACCTCGAGGGCGTGCATATGTTTATAACAGACATTTATACAAAAGACATGCTCATCAAAGCACCAACTTCATCTGAATGCCAGTCCACAGGTACCACCATGCATAGCCTTAAACTCATCAAAATCATTGCAGCGATATTCTTGACGATCCTAGGAAGACACTCAAATTCTCACAGGCAAGTCAGGCAACTAAAAGAATTTCATCCTGTGCGAACTGAGTTTTCATCCCAGGTGAGCCACCTGGTGAGCCTTTAAGTGTTGCTCATTGGTGAATGCCATGGTACAAATGCTACATTTGTAGATTGTACCCTTGTAATTTGAAAGGAGATTGAAAGGAAGTTTCAACTGAAAAGAAAGCTTCGATTGAAGAGGTAAGTTCAGTTTAACTACTTTTGGCTGGACAGGACATTTCGATAGACCTTCACTCTTGTAAACAGCCTGGTGAGCACTCACGTGCCCTCCTTCAGTGACTGCGACAGCATGAGTGCTAAGATTGCAGGTCAGTTCATCTCGGTGAATCTTTCCATGAGCACTCAACTGAGACTCTTTGCAAAGTGCTTCTGAGGAGGTGTGGCATAAAACATGATTTCTGATCAACTGACTTTGTTTGCAACCCACTTGTTTATATTTCCATAAAAATGCTGCATCAAGATTTTCAGATTTGTATGGCATCTTGCCACTAAGAAGTCTTTCGTGAAGACTCAAGCTCGATTTGTCTATCAACTCTTTTGGGTGGGCACCAGATTTCAATAGCCTACCACCTGTGTGCATAGCCACAGGTGGTAGGTCACAGGTGGTAGGCTGGGGCCTGCTTTGGCCCATTCTCTGTTCAAACAATTTGTCACAGGTGTCACATCTGCTGGTTCCTTTGCATTCATGAATTGTTTTATGACTATTCATGCTAGACTTTTGATAAATATCTTTTAGACAAGTTCGTTCATTTTTGTGAAGTTTTTCATGAACATTCAAGTAAAACTTTGTGCGGAATAATTTCGGACAGGTGGGGCATTTATAAGCCACAGGCACGTGAATAGTTTTGTGATAATTCAACTTAGCCCTAAAACGAAACTCTTCTGAAGAGGTGGAGCACGTGAATGGCTTTGGGCCTGCATGAATTAGCTCATTGTTGGTCAAGTGACACTTTTCTGCAAATGATCTGTCACGAGTTTCACATTTGAAGGTCCTCTCACCTTTCTGGTGAAGTCTTGTGTGAACTCTCAAGGAAGATTGGCTACAGTACGAATTTGGACAGGAGGGGCATTTAAACGGCCTTTCATCACTGTGAGATATCTCGTGAGTGGTCAAGGATAACTTCTTTTTAAATGCTTTAGGGCAGATGGGGCATTTAAATGGCCTTTCATCACTGTGACATAGCTTGTGCTTAGCCAGGCTTGACTTCATTTGAAATGCTTTAAGGCAGGTGGGGCATTTAAATGGCCTTTCATCACTGTGAGATAGCTTGTGAGTCGTCAAGTGCGAGTTGATTTTAAATGCTTTAGGGCAACTGGGGCATTTAAACGGCCTTTTATCACAGTGAAATCGCTTGTGCATAGCCAAGCTTGGCTTAATTTTAAATGCTTTAGGGCAGCTGGGGCATTTAAATGGCCTTTTATCACTGTGAGATATCTTGTGCACAGTCAACCTCGACTTTGTTTGAAATGCTTTAGGGCAGATGGGGCATTTAAATGGCCTTTCATCACTGTGACATAGTTTGTGCTTAACCAGTCTTGACTTCATTTGAAATGCTTTAAGGCAGATGGGGCATTTAAACGGCCTTTCATCATTGTGAGATATCTTGTGCACAGTCAACCTCGACTTTGTTGGAAATGCTTTAGGGCAGATGGGGCATTTAAATGGCCTTTCATCACTGTGACATATCTTGTGCTTAGCCAGGCTTGACTTCATTTGAAATGCTTTAAGGCAGATGGGGCATTTAAACGGCCTTTCATCACTGTGAGATAGCTTGTGAGTCGTCAAGTGCGAGTTGATTTTAAATGCTTTAGGGCAGCTGGGGCACTTAAACGGCCTTTTATCACAGTGAAATCGCTTGTGCGTAGCCAAGCTTGGCTTACTTTTAAATGCTTTAGGGCAGCTGGGGCATTTAAATGGCCTTTTATCACTGTGAGATATCTTGTGCACAGTCAACTTCGACTTTGTTTGAAATGCTTTAGGGCAGCTGGGGCATTTAAACGGCTTTTCATCACTGTGAGATAGTTTGTGAGTCGTCAAGTGCGACTTGGTTTTAAATGCTTTAGGGCAGCTGGGGCATTTAAACGGCTTTTTATCACTGTGAGATAGTTTGTGAGTCGTCAAGTATGACTTGGTTTTAAATGCTTTAGGGCAGCTGGGGCATTTAAACGGCCTTTTATCACTGTGAAGTTGTTTGTGCATAGTCAAGCTTGAATTTCTTTTAAATGCTTTAGGGCAGCTGGGGCATTTAAACGGCCTTTTATCACAGTGAAATCGCTTGTGCATAGCCAAGCTTGGCTTACTTTTAAATGCTTTAGGGCAGCTGGGGCATTTAAACGGCCTTTTATCACTGTGAGATATCTTGTGCACAGTCAACCTCGACTTTGTTTGAAATGCTTTAGGACAGTAGGGGCATTCAAACGGCTTTTCATCACTATGATATCTCTCGTGAACCTTCAAGGAAGACTTAGTCCGAAAAGCCTTAGGGCACGCAAGGCATTTAAAGGGCCTTTCATCTGTGTCAATCCTTTCACAAGTAGTTAAGTGATGCTTCCTAGACGCTTCTTCTGTCTGTGTGCCTTCAATTGCAATGGTCTTCCTTGTAGAGATGCTGGACCAGGTTCCAAAAGAACAGCCATGTCTTGGATTCACCTGTTCGTCCAGACATTCCTGGTCCGAGCGTTCTTGGGAAGAGGACAAGCTATGGCTTCCTCCACAGTCGGAGCTCCCCTCTGGCACATCGTCGGCGTCTGTTGGGGAGACAAAATTAACAAGTTCCAGTCTTTCAAACTGAGGGAGTGAAAAAGTTACCTATCCCTTACAGGAAAAAGTTGTACATATGTCAAAAACCTGCGGTAAACCCCGAACAATTAAAAAGTTGAGCAGGTTGGAATTGTTCCAAATGAACTGCAATGAAAAACAAAGCTCGACCCAAGTCGTGTTATACTGATTTATATATAGCAGAAATACAGCAGAACCCTAGAGACATTCTTTACTGAACCATAGATAAAAAAAGTATGGTCTTGAAAACAATCAATGGCAATAAAGCATTCAGGGGCCTTCGATAATACAGGAAGTGACATTTTTTTAGTAACTTATTTCCCTAAGATGTTTGCAGCTGTAAACTATTGATTAATAGATTATTCCATAGAAACGTAGATACTGTGAGCACAATCCTCCAAGAAATCACCCATCACGCATTTCTCGCTAAATATTCGTAGGGTTCAAATTCCAAAGCATACCCCATTTGATTCATACAATATAAGATGGGATACATTCAAGCTGCTATGCTCCAAACGGATGAAGAAAAACAATGAGCAGGGATTTTCTTAGTAGATGTAAGTGCACAGGTTGCCAATCCCTTGAGAAAGCTTTATTTCTCTTTTTATTTGACCGGCCAACCCTTCCAGTACGTAGGAGTGGTGCGATAAATCAGTACGGAAGCTTAGATGCCTTTTAAACAAGAATGCACACAGTAGAAACTATTTAGCTCATGGTCACGCATCAACAGGAGGCTTACGCTCCGCAGATTTTTTTTTATAGTCTTCGATTTGGCTGAAAACTGGACGACCGCATCAATAACCCTTTCTTAACTAATAGCCAAAATATTTCATTAGAATAAAATTTTTCCCCGAAGATACTGAATTTTCAAGTTACGCCGGCCGCGAGGTTTCTAGGAGGCGACTCTCTACTGGCAACAATGAAAAATCCCTACTTTTCCCTATCCGTGTACGTCACCGGCGGACGAGCGGCCTGGGCAGCCACAAAGCGGCTTTCTGGGTGCCATCGATCAAGATGTTTTTTTCCATAGCTTCAAGGTTGAAATTTCCTTTGCAATGGGTAGCAATCTGTTATCTGCAAACTAGTGTCGCATTGAACATTCTCGCTTATGCTCAGAATACTGTAAAACCCTTAATGTTCGCAAGCCCGTGAATTTAGCGAATTGAAAAATTCGCAAGATATAAGGGTTGCGAAAATTTCGGTCCCTAAAAGTTTCAATGCAGGCATCTAGAATTTGCGAAATTTAGCGGCCGCAATTTGTTCTCTTTGACCGATTTGCGAAAAATAGGGGCCGCAAAAATAAAAGATTTTACAGTAGTTTATAGAGTTACGGGCTTGAGTACGCGGCTACACACTTTTATAGCCGCGTGCTGCGAGTTGGAGTATCCTTCTGCAGCCGAAAGAGCGGCGAGCGCTGACTCAAGCCCACTAACCACTACAGCACCCGTCCAAAGAGGAGCGTTAATAATATCGAGAAAAATAGTGCCCATTGTAGTACTATAGTGGACATTGGTGCAGTCACATTTGTTGTTCACAATTCGTTCAGTATCTATTTTTTTTTTTTTTCATAGATAATATATTTGTTTTGGACATTTAATTTAGCACGGGCTACTCTCGGAGTTCCACTCACGCAGCTGATCTGTCGAAGACGAGAAGTGAAACGTCTAAACGAAGTTCGAGTCTGAGTTTAGACATACCTTTCGACACACTGCCTTACGTGTCTGGTATTACAGATGTTTATGGAACAGGCGTTGAGCTCCATTAATATACGATAGAGCCGCTGCCTGGTTTGTCGAATGTATGGCATACAATGTTTCCTCACAGAAAACGTGGTGAAAACGTCTGTATTTTATTTTATAGCGGAGAAATGTGATTTAGGGCTGAAAAGTTTTTTGAAGTATGAAAATATTAATGTCGTTTAGGAGAGGCATGTAAATTTACAGCTGATGGAGGCTGTGAGAAACCGAAACTTCATTATAAAAATTTTTTATATACATTTACACTATTCCATATGTATGCTCGCAGATGAGTGTTTGATGAGCGTGTTGCATTCTACGCCAAAAGAACAAAAAAATGTACAAAGTTTTTTTGTTTTTTTTTTGTTTTGTTAAAGACGACGATTAGTTTGTGCTTAATACTTTTCCCTCGCTTCCTCCTCTCGCCCTTCTACCCTGTTTACCGTTGCCTGTTTCCTCTTCCCTTATGGTAAGGAGGCTCTTCTGCCTTGCAGAATCTCGAGTATGGTCGTTGGCCTTTAACTTATTTTGAATTAGAAATTTTATGATGCATTCTTGTACTTTACGCAATATTTCGAGCAAATATTACGAATGGTGCATTTGTGTATCTTCTACGCCTTTCATTGCACCTTGATGTATGGCTTGATGGATGCGGAGTTCTTTTAATTTTCATTTTAGCGCAATCTTCACAAACAGAAACCTGCCATCTGGCCTACATGGATGCAGTTCATTCCATACATTTCAATGTTTAAGAGAATCACAGCCTACACGTTATAGGTCACAGACCAGCACACACATGTTCATCGCTTTGGAAGGCGAGCAAAGTACGCACCACAGGTTTGAATGCTAAAAATGGCACCGACCAGAAAAGCTTTTCTGGAATGGTCTATAGATATTTTGCTAAACCACTTAAGCACCAAGGATCCTATGCACACCAGAAGGGTACTTACACATGCAGGCATCTGCAACAGTAACTTTCTAAAGAAATTCTAAAACAAATGGCATGTACATTCAGGTATAAGACGAGCGTGCGAGGCACCTGTATCCACATTTCGAGCATTACCTTCCGTGGTGCTTGGGTAATTTGTCCAAAAAAAATGTATTTTTGACTTGTCGACCTTTCTTCGTCAGCATAACTGCCACCTTCTGATCGAAGAACGGATCTGCCAGTGATTTCACGAAACTAGCGAGCCGCGGCTTGAGCGTACCAAGTTGCAAAAAAGGTTTTCTCAAAATCCCAAATGCTTCCTTTTTTTTTTCTTTTTTTACTTTCTCATAGTTCAGCACATAGGCCAGGGTCATACTTCGTGCAAATAGAGGTTATTATCAACTTCGAATACGACTCTGACGGTTCTTCGAAAATAGATTGAATTATCGAAGAGTCGAAATATTGAATATCGATCAAAAACGAGTAACGACGTATGTCACGAGAAGCGGCGAAAAGCCAACCGTGACGACAGAGTTTTATTTCGAAAAAAACGCCGATATTTTCTGCTGCCGCATTCCCGTCAGACGCTTCGCAAAAACAAATTTCCGCATATCCTCAATGTGCGGCCACATCGTCCCGTCGGTGTCTTCAAACGTTGCGAAGTTTGCAAGTATATCGAGCGCAGCGGATGCTTCGGCAGGAGATGGGCGTGGCGGCGGCTCTTCGGCGTCACTCTCGCAGCTGTCGTCCTCCTAACCCTCGGGATGCTGAACCGATGCAATGATTTCGTCGTCAGTCAATTGACCGCACACAAGCACTTCATCATCTATCGTAACGTAATCATCGAAACTAACGTTTTCGGGTAGAGCGGACATTAGAGCACTGCACTCTTCGTCAAAGTTTTCATCTTCAATTGTGGTTGCCGATGTTGTAGCCGATGCAGTTGCCGATGTAGTAGCCAATGCAGTTGCCAATGTAGACGTAGTAGCCGATGCAGTCGTCGGACCCGCGGTATTTCCATCACACGAGAAACCACAGTGACGAAAGCAGTTCGCGATGACCTGGCTTGACATGTTCGTCCAAGCTTTAACAAGCATATGAATCACCGCCAACAGAGTGACTTCATAGCGCTTATCCTGGTCCAGACAAAGCAATATTCTTGCTTGAGATGCTTGCGGTACAAGCCTTTCAGGTGTTTGATTATTCCTTGATCCATTGGTTGCAAGAGTGAGGTGGTTGCGGGTGGAAGGAAAATCAGGCAGATCATAGACAGCTCCGGCATTTTTGTGTGCGCATTGCAGTTGTCCGCTACTAACACGACCTTGCGCCCCTTGGACGCAAACTGGCGGTTCAATTTTTGAAGCCAATCTTGAAAGATCTCACGTGTCATCCACGCTTTTTTGTTGAAACGGTAGTCCGTTGGAAGCCGCGGGATGTTCCATAAGCATCGTGGTGTCTTGGATTTCCCGATCACCAAAAGAGGCAGACGTTCCGTGCCTGTCGTGTTGGCTGCCACGAGCACGGTCACCCACTCTTTACTGCGTTTTCCCCCAGTGCAAGGATCCCCTTTGAACGTTATCGTTTTGTCGGGGAGAGCTTTGAAAAACAACGCCGTTTCGTAGCAATTGAATATGTCCTCGGGCGCATACTCCTCAAGAATACGTGCGAGCTCCGACGTCTTCCAGTTTTCACACAAATCTTCATCCACATCGGCTCTTTCACCACAGACGTGCTTAAAAATAAGAGAGTGCCTCTCCCTGAATCTTGCGAGCCATCCCTCGGAAGCACGGAATCCCTCGATGCCCAAACGTTCGCTGAACTGTTGAGCCTTTGCGCGAATCATGTCTCCAGTCATCGGAAGGTTGTGCGTTCTTACTTCTGTCACCCATTTGTAAACAGCTTCTTCGAGTTCTGGATGGGCTGCAATGCGAAGGCGTTTTCTTGAATTCACAAATTTCTCTTCTTCAAAAGCTTTCACGATTGCTGCTTCGTTCCTAATGTAGGTAGCAAGCGTGCTTTTCTTGAGGTCATACTTTTCGGCAATTTCTTTTCTGGACAATTTTCTCTCCCTAACTTCGTTGAGTATGTGAACTTTTGTTTTTAAATCATTCGAAGAGTACTTTCCTCGCTTTTCTTTCGACATTTTCCGGTATGAGCGTTAAACGCCGCGCACTCCAAAGAACAGAAACCAGAAACCGCGTGACAGCACGGTCCCTCTTCATCGCTCGCTCATTTTTCTCCAGTCTCCTCCTCCATCCTCCCGACGTTCTTTCTCACTTCATCGCTCACTCATTTCCCTCTCGTT